TGTCGTCGTGGTTTTAATGCCAGCCAGGAACTAAGTTCCACACAGCCCCTTCTTCCCAGCACTGTGGGGATGAGGAAGAGAACTAGGAAAAGTTAAAACCCTTGGGCTGAGATAGGAACAGATTAATAATTTAAATAAAGTTAAATTAATTTAAATAAAATCTTCATAGTAATGAGAAGGGAGATAACAAAAAGAGAGGAAAGAAATGATGCACAGGATCACTGCTCACCACCCAGTGACCACTGCCCAGCCCATCCCAATCCCAAATAGTCATTGACCCCTCCTGGACAACATCTCCCAATTTATATACTAGGAATGATGTCCTTATGGTATGGAATATCCCTTCAGCTGTCCCAGTCATGCACCTCCTCGCTGGCAAAGCCCTGGAAATTAAAAGTCCTTGTCTTGGAGTAACCACAACACCTCAAACATCAGGGTGTTATCAACGTTATTCTCACGCTGAATCCAAAACACAGCACTGCACCAGCTACTGGGGAAAATTAATTATCCCAGCCAAAACTAGGACACACCTGTTAGTCTTACCACAAACTCCTGGGAAAAATATGGAGAGGAGTTATACTGGGTGCTACTGAGAGTCTTCTAAAGAAGAGCCAGGCACAATTAATTGACACAGGTTAATGAATGCGGTATCTGTCTATGGTAAGGTCACCTGCCCAGGGGATGAAGGGGAGAAAGTGGGTGTAGAGTTTTTCTGGATTTTAGCAAAGCCTTTTGTACTCCCAGCACCCTTCTGGACCAGGTGTCCAGCTGTGGGATGAGCGGGTTCACAGGGATGAACTGGCTGAAGGGCAGAGCTCAAAGGGGCTCCAGCTGGTTGGTGACTGTCACCAGCGGTGCTCCTCAGGGATCAATCCCAGGGGCCACTCCTATTCAATGTAGTTGTCCATGACCTGGGATTTTTTAACCTTCTGGCCAGCCCTCAACTGCTCAGGCAGCTGGACTAGATGGGTCACTGTAGGTCCCTTCCAACTGAAATATTCTACTCTATTCTAACTTACATTTGGGTGTAAAGCAAGAACCACGTGGGAAAGATCCTACCTGATCATTTCAGCAGGGCACTCAGTGCACATCCACAGCCTTTCAGTGAAAAAATATCATTTCACCAATATGATTCCATTGTTAACTTTTCCCCCATGATTTCAACAGCAGGTCACATGTCCAGAGATGGCCAAGTCCTTTGGGGGGACATCAGAGCACAGCCCTGTAACACAGCACCTCTTTAATCAATCCATACGAGTATTTTAAGCCTACAGTCAACTGCACTGCAGAGTCTGATTAGAAGAACAGAATAAAACTCATCAAGACTATTTTGGGGATTTTAATGACAGTGACCAAGGTAGCACTGTGCTGTCTATTATGTATTTAGAACTGACAGACTAATTTCATTCTAATCCAGTACATTCCCCTCTAACTGCTCGATTCAATTCTTACAACCCAAAAAAGATTCTACATCACCACACAGAGGAAAAAAGAAGGGAAAGCATGATATTCATAATTATCCATTCTGCATGCAAAAGCCTATTTTGGCATATATTGTTTTCATTCTGGAAGACAAAAACCCCTGGATTCTACAGATTTCCACAGAAAAACAGCACCCCTTTACAAACCCAGATTTCTTACAAAGCACAGTAGCTGAATCACGGAATATTGGGATTTACCTCCCTTGTCCACCTGCTGTCCAGGTAGGTAAAGGACATCCAGTTAAACTAGGGGACTCTTTAGTATGGTTCCTTTCACTAAATCCAATCTCTCCAAGAGAAAATGAGGCTTCACATCCTAAACTTCTTAAGGTAGCCTTCCTCTAACAATAACGAGCCCACAGCGACCTGCTTGGGTCAGTCATTCCTTGCTGTTCCTGGAGACTTGGAGGGATTAATTTTGCTGGCAACTGTAGGCTTCTCCTAGGTGGTTTCAACGCCTCATTCCTGTCCAAAAAAGTTAAAACGCTTGGCAAAAGGAAGATATGTACTTCTGGTATAAAAAGTTATACATGTTACCCCAGAATATTAATTAAAGACACGGTGACCCCATGGTCACCAGCCAAGGAAATGACGCCAAGGACAAAGACATTCTGCCCTCTTGGTCTGACCACAACCTCCCTGTGTTGAAAAGATGATATTTCTTCATTCCCTGAGAGAAATGAACCATGACATGTGATTTTATTTCCTGAAACTGCCCAGTCTTTTATACCAAGCCAGGAAACAACAGATAGACAAGAACCTCTGACAGAAGAGAGCAGTTACGAAATGCAGGTAGAGAAGTACAATTTCTCTTATGCACGATATTCAGCAGTTCCCCTCACTTAATCTTTACATCCTTGACAGCTCAGTGACCTGTGACCAGAAAAACTGTTCAGAGAGTGTAATGGGGTGTCAGGGGCTCAAAACCAAACTACCTGTGACCTCTCACAGTACAGTACAGGTGTGGGGAGAGGTCAGCCTAAAGCACTCTGAAGCCATAAGGTCCATCTTTGCAAACAGAGAATTATATTCTCCATCAGTCTACTCTAAACTTTTACCTGCTCTGAAGATTTTCTACTTCTTGGAGATTTTCTCCTCATAATCAGACAACATTGTTACCCACATAACACAATGTGCAAGATTAAAACACCTAACACTACTCTTCTAAATATTTTACTACTCGTGATCACTTGCCAAAGATTTTATACAACACCTGTTTGAAATAAAGAAAAACCAAAACACAAAAACCCCATGACTTTTTTTAAAAAAAAAAAAAAAAAAAAAGTCAACCTCAATGTTTTCTTAAGCAAACAAATAAGAAAATCACGTATTACTGAGTATTTGACACTTGAAGATCCAGAAAAGCTCCTGGGCTGTTTTAACATGTGCTTGGATCTGGTGTCAGCAAGGGGTTTGACTCCTTAAGCACTCTCAAAAGCCTGATCAATGCACTCCCTCCCAAACCTCCCAGCTTGTCATTCCTGTTAGTGATTCAACTGTATTCCACAGAAGAGAAAAACATCCTCCCCTTCCTGTTTCAGATACATTTGTCAGTCACCTTCCTCTTCCAAGAAATTTCCAAACATCTCTTGAAACATGAAGACATAAAATTCCATTGGAACTTATCAGTCCTGTGCTTAAAGTAAACTGTGCAAGCTTCACCCTCCGTGGCCAACAGCTCCGAGATAACTGAGAATAAATGGAGTTGGGAAACTGTCTCTGGATATCAATTTACTCTACTTCTGTTGGAAAACAAAACACTTGAGCAACCTTCATGCACTGAGTAGAACCCAGCCCCCATTTCTACACAGGTATTTATTCAATTTATTTCTACACAAGGTCCTATTCTCTTCACAATATACAGGGTGAACACTCCAGTCTTCCCTTCTTTTATCCCTCTCTTTTCTGCCACCCTCCGTTTCAATTTAAAATTGAAAAATATGTTATCAAGTAGCATCAAATAATGTTATCAAATTCAACAAACTGATACCAGCTAATGCAAATGAACAGGAACAACTGAAGGCCCTGGAAATGGTGTCTGGAGACACCGACTGCCAAATGGCTAGGAACACACTCTGTACTTTTCCACTGTTTGGTTAAAAGCTGCTAAGACGGGTCACATGGATAGATGGAAAAGCCTTATTTAATCCCATGTTGGTTCAATTACCTTTCATCTTCAATAAGCCAACTCCACTGGGCTGCAGCATCTATTGTCCCTAAGACAGTTAAAAAATAAGCATAAGAACACTCTTCTGCCACCCAAGGCCCTCTGTGGGACTCCTGTACCCTGGGTCTCCACTCCTGCACCCTGGGTCTCTACCAAACTCCCACCAGGCAGAACATGGAACTTCTCTGCTCCAGTTCCCAGAACTATTTACATGACTATACAGACACTGCTGGTGAAACTGCTTTCCAAAAAGTTGTAACTTTTTGGTCAAAACAAAAGGTTATGTTCTAACATTGACAACGACACGACGCACAGTTCACTGTCATCCCCAAGCTCATCCAGTACCCCAACAGTGCTGCACTTGTAGTACTTGGAACAGAAAATCCATTTAGCAGCTAAAACATTTTCAGGGAAAAAAAAAAAAACACACACACACAAAACTAAAGGGTGGAAAAAAAAATAAAAGACAAAAAAAATTATCAACTACTGAGTACAGAAGCATGAAGACAGACTTACTTCTGGAAAATGTTGAAATAATCCTTTAATTGTTAGTTATGATTGTAATATAAATTGCAGGATTTCTGCTTTATCCTTAGACTCCTTAAAAAGGATAAATGAAGACAATTCCTAAGAAATTTTGTTAGAATTACACAGAACTGGTTTCTTACTCTAAGGGTTTTAATAGCAGAAACTGGCAATAGGAGAGAAGCTACATCAAATCCTACACCACCCTACAATATCATGATCTGATTCTCTTCGCTTTTACCATATATAAGATGCTAATTTTCGCAGTAACACTGCTGCAGAGACAGTGTTTTCCACCAGTGCTAACACAGTTCTACACCAAATCAAACAAGTACAAAATCTGATTACTCACTGAAACAGCAGCATGGAAATCCCTAGAGCTGTGAAGACAAGCAAAGCCTGCCCTTTTGTTGGGGATTTTCTTTTGGCCTTCTGATTAGGGAAACCTAGAACGTTTCATCCTTGCACAAACCTGCAACTACTTGGAAGAAGCAGTGCAGCTCTGGGCCACCAGCTGAGAAAAGCTGAGGCAAGAACAACCCCTATTTCAGCACACCTGAACTTCCTCAGCCCCTGCCTCATTTCAACAACAATTCCCTTTCTCCAGTTCACATTATCCATCCTGGAAGCTAAAGCAAGGGCGGCTGCTCCATCCATACCTGACTCGCTCTCTGTGGCACCTCCCAGGGCTGCAAAATGCAAGTCTGGCAGATCTGTCGCAAGGGAGCCTAAATGCCCCAAAAATCAGGATTTCACGGCTGAGTACGCTCCTAGTGGTAAATGCACACGGGATCCCAACGTGCCACGCTACAAACACTAATACTCACAGCAGTTTCTGTGCCATCTGCACTGCTCCTTTTGAAGCCACTGCTCCTTTTGAAGCGTCTGCCCATCAGATGGTCGCCTGCTGCAACCTCCTGCCTCCCTCCATCCTCGCCTGCCCCGCTCCTGCTTCCAAGTCCGTCCCAGCTGTCCTTCCATGAGTCTCACTGTTGAGTGTATGAGACATTATTTAATTTCATATTACTCACAGGACAAGAGCTCAGTATTGATCTGTTTTCCTAACTCTCAAAATCTGAATGATTATCCGAACGTGTCGCCTTGAATGACTTCCAGAAGACTCGCTTTTAGTCAAAGGTTAAAAATCTCTTATGTTGTAAAACAAAGACCTAATCAAATTAATTTGTGTCATTCAATTTAACTTAGAGAGCAATTTTTAATTTAAAGGGTTTGAATAATCAAAACCCCACTTCACTACCAGCACAATTCTGCCTTTTGAGAACTCTGCAAATATTCCATGGTACCATAATAACTTTCTGTGTTATTACCCTGACAGTACCAACTATGCCCTAAGTATGAACAACAAATATGCTTCAGTGTTTATTCATGCTCAGAGCAACTTGTCTTATTCTAGTAGTCCAGTGTAACTCCTCAGTACACAGCATTTCACCCAGCTTTTGAGGGGAAAAAAAAAAAGGGGGGCAAAACCCAGAAAAAACAAAACAAAACAAAAACCCACCTACCTTCTGAATATTCCCCTCTTAACATGAAATGCTGCAGTCTTACCCTCATTCTCCCCATTAAAATAAAAAGGATAATCATCTTTTCTCTGGGTAGTAATCTTTCCAAAATTCTAATTAGATCATCCACAAAACCAGTGCAGACCTCTGATGACGTAACAAGAAGCATTATACAGTGTTTATGCTCATATATCAATCTCTGTTTAGAATATTCTGGGATATTTTTAGGCTGAGGGGATTAAAAGGTCTTTTTAAAAATCACAAAAGCCTGACTGAGAAGCTTCAGTCATTAAAACTTATGTAGTAAAAAAAGAACTTGAACTACTTTGCTGAGTCAAGCCCTAGTCCAGACTTCTAGAAAGTTCTGCAAAATACAGAAAAATCTCTGCAGGGTCAGAAAAATAAAATGTTGCCTTGACAAACCTGCAATTCAGCTCAAATGATGAAGAATTAATTGATCCAAGGGGCTGAAGCCTGAGATCTGCAGAGTCTTGTCCACAGAGTCAGCACAGACTGAGAGTCTGGAACCAGACCGGGTCCTCGTGTTTCAACAATTAAGGGGCTCACACAGGACACCCAGCTTTTGTTGTAAAGTAGAGACTGATCCCCACGAAAAAAATAACAACAAAGTCAACTGAAGTGAGGGAATACAAATGGATGGACAGGAATTTCAGTCTGCAGGAAAATTAAAAAGCAGGTTTTGCTGCAAGGACGAAAGAAACTGCAAGTCCCCAAAAAACGTGTGAAAAATTAAACTGTGTTAGGCACAGATACTGAGGGGAAGGTGAACAAGTGTGTTCAAACATGGAAACTTTAACAAAGCAACTATGCAACAATTCCAGACGACAGGTTTTACCAGAGAGAGATTCAGGGGTTTATTGTTCAGTCTCACAAAATGGAACTATAGAAACCAACTCCAATATTGAGGACAGTATCTCCAAGTGAAGCAAGTTTATGAAGCCAGAGATGTAAAACTGCATTAATGCCACAAGTATTATTTTTCATGAGGATGTCATTCAATCTTGCCTGGATATACCACGGCAAAACAATTACTAAGTTTTCAAAAGTCACCTAAAACTGGGTTGTGCTCTTTTTTTGTAGCCTCAGGGATCATTACCTTGGGAAGGGGTCAGTGATACATTTTCACTTCAACACATCACAGCGCCTCTTACCAAAGTCACAATGAATTTTATACACTGGAAGCCTGTAAGATTCTATTCTATACCACAGTAACACATCACACTTATTAATAATCTTCTGTCTTAGTTTCTCTTTCTCTCCATCTGGTGTTATTTCCGTGCATCCTTCGCTAACTTCAAATTTGAACCATTTTTCATTTTCTGGTGTCATTTTATTTGAAGCATATGCTTCAGCTATCATCTTTGTCTGCATGTGTGATATCAATAATGATTCTATACAGGAGGAGTCAGATTCTGAAATCTTTATTAGGTAACAGTTTGCCTCAGCAACATGGGCAGTCTACAAACTATTTAAATCAATTAGACTAATTTCCATATTACTCAACCTGGTACAGACACTGTGTCTCAGAATCTAAAAACACTTAGGGACAAATAAAGGAAAAGCTATTTGCAAACACTGTGAAAGATCACAAACAGATTAAATGATGGTTATGGCAAATGCTGCATCAAATCCCAACCACTGATCTACCTCACACAGCGTCCTGCCCAGGAAGAAACACTCTATAAACATTCCAGGAAAAGGTGTAAAGAATTCCTGCAATACAAAACTGTAAAGTAAATGATAAAAAGAGGGATCACTTCTACCTAAATGTCACCTATTCCTGGCTGGTGAACGCCCTCGAGAATAAGTGTTCTTCCGATTCACCGACAGCCAGCTTTGGGAGATTTCCAAATGTCACCACACTCGGGTTTTTGTTCATTAGACAAACCTATTTTCCAATTTCAAGTAAAATACGGTATCTTAATTAACACATTATTACGTGGCAACCATTCAAGACATAGTTTTCCAGTACCAAAGCAGTTAATACGAAAAGGTAAACAATTAGTCCCTTAATATCACGGTCTATGTGTCCTCCTAGTGATAACTATCTGAAACTGCACTGATACGCCGCTGTGAGCTCCTGTTCTTGGTTTTAACTCTTCATTTCCTCCGTTTTACTTTTAATTTTGGGAAATTCCAGCTGTCAAGCCGTATACTGCTCGCTGTTCCTCACACAAGTTAAAGCTCCACGAGCTCAACACCAGGCGTCCGCTGGGAATATAATCAAGATGTAAAGATAAGCAGTAACTACTGCACACCAAACGTAAAAACAGTAAAGCAATTTCACGTTTCAGAAGAGCACACGAAGGCCATAAACAGCCTAGTGCAAAGTACTTCAAGGTTTAGGTTTTTAGGCAACATAGAAAACTCAGCAGACTCCAAGACAATTTTCAGGTTAGTCCATGTGCCAGTTTCACTCAAAGATGAGGTATTTCAAATGTGAATAAACACACGGGGTTCTTTCAGTGTGATGATTGCTGAAGATTCATCAACTTCAAGTCCATTTCTACAAAGCAGCTGGACTGAAACTCTGCAGGCCAAAGGCTTTAAGGTCACTTTATCCAAGTCCTTTTCTATCACAGGTTATTGCATTTCGTCTTCTTGCTCCTTCAGAACTTTATCTGATGATTTTTATCACTTGTCAGGTGAACATGCACCGACCAGAAAACTGGCAAAGACTGATTCCATGAGATATTCCCAGATTATCTCAGCTGAACGACACCACCATGGTACAGAGCAACGCAAAAATCATCCAGGGCTCTATCAGACTGAGAGAAAAGTCCACCTGAGCCTCAAACCAGTACAACTTTTGGGTTAAATGCTTCCCATCAATACTGTCTGAATGAACACCTGCAATTCTTACCACCCTTCTACATCCTCCCCAAGACCCAGGATAAAGGGAAATACCAGAACTAAGAACACACTGGCGAGGGTGGCGGTTCCAGAGCCACAAGTTTAACACTCAGACAGTAAGAAGAAAAACAAAAGTAGTATCAACAGTAGTGAACACAGGCACCTCAAGGGAGTTTAAAACCCCATGTCCTTCCTACAGACGTCATAAAAGCCAAGAAGTTTAGTTTTAGAAATCTGAAAACTGATTGCTGTACAGGCAGAAAAGGTTTGAGACATGCAAGGGCTATGACAGACAAGCTATTGACAAATGCTAATTACCAATAAAATTACCATGGAAATTTATAGGAATGTTGCCAACTTTAGGCTGACAGGCAGCATGTCTTTCTGGAAATAGAGGGAATATATAGCTGTTATAAAACAGCATGATGGCTGGCTAAAACCACATTACTGTTAAAGTGCTTGTAAATTTAAGAACTATTTGTATTTAAGAATTTCCCACTGTTATTATTTCTGTGAAGTCTGGCAAATTTCAATACATTGTTCATGGTGGTCAAACCAAATAACCTAATTTGAAATGAATGAGGGCATTACTAATCCCAAATATTCACATTTTTCATCGACCTTCAAAGTGACACATGATTTTCAAACACTCATTTTCACAGCACAATCTCTGTAACTTCATTTACTGAAAAACTTAGATCATTTATAAATCAAAGCACTCCTTTAAAGATGTTCTAGTTAGTCATTACTCTTCTATCCTAGGTATTAGCCTTAGCTAGGATTTTAGCCAATTAATAGTTAATTATGATTAGTTTATTAATTATATTTAATACTATTAAGGGGACAAAACCCCACACAATAAAACAAAATATTCTACCCGAAAGTGTCTACCAGGCATTTTAGAATTATACTGTTATTGTTTTTTTAAACTACATACTTCTGAATAATTTCAGTTCATCCAACTTGGTTTAAAAAAATAAATAATAAAAAATAAATGAAAATAAACACACACAAAAAAAGCAAAATAAAACAAACAAACAAAAAAAAGGGAAAAAATAAAACCAACAGACAGAACTCCATTAAAACTACCTCACAATTCTATTTTTTCCTTCAGACATGCTCTTCATATTTCCTGGTTCCAACACATGCTGACCTGCCAGTTTAGTTGATTTGTATTAACTATCAGGATTGTATTTCATTTCTAAGAATGCATTTTGGTCAAAACAATCTCTTCTACATAATAAATATTATACAATCCTGAACTATGGTCTATGTAACGAGCAATAAAGTTTGGCTGCCTCTTTCCTTTATCATACACAAATTTATTCTCCTTGCTTTTTACTGCCAAATCCTTGATGTCTCACAAAATTTGATGGCTAATTCCATCTCCCAAGGTAACAAGCAATGGAACAACAGGAAACTGCCCCGAGTTGCACCAGGGGGAGGTTTAGGTTGGATATTAGGGAATATTTCTTCACCAAAAGGGTTGTCAAGCCCTGGAACAGGCTGCCCTGGGCAGTGGTGGAGTCACCACCCCTGGAGAGATTTAAAAAACGTGCAGATGTGGCACTTGGGAATGTGTTCTTTTGCCAGCGCTGAGGGAACAGTCGGACTCGATCTCAGAGGTCTTTCCCAACTTTCTGATTCTGTGATTCCAAAACCTGCAAGTTTCCAAGCCCCTGACAGTGCGAGAACTTTGCATTTAAAAAAAAATAAAATAATTATTTTTAACAGGTTTTGCAAGTAACTTAATGCTTTTTACACACTTGGAAGTCAACAGGGAAATAAGAACACGAAACAGTTTTGCTGGTGCCGGTTTTACCTCACTATTTTAAATGTATCTGCATCACTTGTCAATGAGTGACTCACACTTTGCCAAAGCCCAGGACTGTCAATACTTTGTACGTGTCAGACTGTGTGTTTTGAGCTGTTTCCATCCTCTCACTGCCTGCTTTGGGTGTTGTGAACTCAATTTCCCTGTGGTACCTTCTCCAGTACACCCTGTGCCCTCTGCAGCGTTACCCTCCATCCCATGGGACCACTTTTCTTCAGGCCTATGTAAGCTCTGGAGTAGAAACACAGGTCAGGTGGACAGCCAGGAGCAGCGGGAGGAGGAAAAACAAAAATCAGCTGAGCTTTTCTAAGAAGTACATTTTTAGGTTTACCATGTAAAAACACAGTCTTCAGGAAGTGGCTGGTGCCGGAAGCCGGTGACCTCAGAGCCCCATGTAAACACCACACA